TATATATATATATATAATGATGCTACGTGTTAAATTTTTTTTTTATTGGGTGATTGATATTTTTTTGTATCAATTTTTTTCACTGGATGATTTATTTAGTTTTTTATAAAAATCTATCATAAATTTTCTATGTTCTCTTGAAACTCATTTCGAAAACTATATTATAGACACATCGAATGATTTAAATGAATATCGAAAATAGTTAAACGTACATCAAACGTGTGTGTTAAAAAATGCGTATAACTTGTCTTTTTTCTTTAAAAAAATCAATTATTTTATTAATGTTAATTATTTTGTCGCGATAATTTTCTCAATATAATTTATATCATTTTCTTTAAAAAAAAATTATGTATATGACGTCAATTATTTTTCTTTTTGGGCGTAAAAATTTCTAATAAAATTATTATCACTTTATAATTTATATGAGTTATAAATTGTTATACTATTTTTCTCCATTTCTTTACGCAACATCTATAGAAATATATATATACACTTCTTTTCTTCATTCCTTTACACAACAAGTAATCAAATTTGTAGATTTATTAAGAGAAATAAATAGATATTTTGACACGATAATATTACCTAAAAAATAACATAACACGTGCATTGCACGGGTGGAAAGCTAGTAAAATATACAAAATTGAGGCTGCTATGTGAGAAGGAAAAGTATTGAGGCTGCTACATGTAAAATTGTGCTACAAAATAAAAGAAAACAATAGAGGTTGCAAGGGTGGAGAGAAAGAAAAGGAAAAAAAAGGATTTATCTTTCAATCTTTGGGCGTGGATTTCATACAGGTCTTTCTCTATACAATACAAATGGGGGATTTCTTTAAGTGTTATATTTTGGATACTCTAGATGTGTAGTATTCAAAATAGGTATATTAAGGTTTTATCAAATTGTTGGTTTGTGTGAGATTATTTGTTGTCTTAGATATTGATTATTGTTGTTTTCTTAGCTTGTTCAAAACTCTAGTTTTGGGCATAAACTTGAACGTTGTGATCTCTTGTTATTATAGGGGATTTAGCCGGAGTTGCCTCGTGGTTTTCTCTCTCTACACTGGAGGGTTTTTTCGTGTAAATTTGGTGTGTGTTTTCTTTATTATTATTATTTTTTATATTTAATTAGTTGTTTGCTATTCTAGCAAAGGGGGAAATTGCCCAGCAGAATTGACACATTTGACATATTTAGCTATAACTTGGACAACTATCTCAGGATAGTACCCCATTTTCTTTTAAACCTCAAGAATCTTGTTTTTCTTGAACATCAGTTTAACCGTTTATCTGGTTCAATTCTACCTTCGCTTGCTACACTACCATATCTCTGAGTAATAGACCTCAACAAAAACCAACTTACTGGGCCAATCCAAAGTCTTTCAGCTACCTCCCTGAACTGTCATGCGAAATTCCAAAGCATCTTTAACAAAATTAAACTTTTCTGCAGTTCATATTTCAAGAAACAACTTATCTGGAGATGCATCTGTGTTTTTCGATAAGGGAAAGATCGCCACCCTGATCATCATTTCAAGGGCAATTTTGAGTTTGATTCCTCAAAGGTGAGCTTCATGGAGTCATTAATTATTCTGGATATATCTCACAACAAAATTTATGGAAGCATTCCACAACAAATAGCAGATAATACAATGTTGCAGAGGTTGAATCTCACTTATAATAGATTGTGTGGTGAAGTTGGAAGTTGAAGTTTAATTCCTAGGGTTGGGATTACATGTACTTCTTTCATAACAGATGCTTATGTGGCGGATATAGGAATTCAGGTGAGCACGGGAGCCTGCTAGACGACAGTTAAAGCAACCACCCAATATAAGGAAAAAATAAATTTGGTGGAGCCAGAATGGGCGGCCGCAAGGGCTCTCCGGGTGTTGGCTTTGTCCCTGATGGGGATTCCATTAGATCCATGTAAATGATGCTAGTAGTCTAACTGCAGTTGGATCAATATTCAAAATATCCTAGAATGTTACTATCATTCTAAATAATGTTCATTTGCAACTGAATAGAGTTTCTTGTCTCAAAAGTATGTGGTTTTCAGTCGAGATCTACTATCCAATTAGGCTGTTCATCCAATTAATTCTTGACATGTTGAAGTTAAGAGGGTAAATTTGAGATAACATGTTAATTATTGATGGCATGTCAAAAATTAATTGGATGAACAGTAAAATTGGATGGTGGATCTCGACTTCGTGGCTCTATGTTTACCTGGCTCGATGTCATCCCTAAATTGGCTTTGAAATCGAGCTCGTGGTGCTTTGTTTCCACTCTATAAGCACATTTCCTAGTAGAACATATTGGCATTTCAAATATCAGATTTCATTCCAATTAAACCCTCAAGCAACTTTTGCATTCACCAATATGTTGTTGGCTCAATACATTAAAACAGTGGCAACCACTGGACCCCATTTTCAAGCAATTATTACTAGAAACAAATAGTAACTCTCGACAAATAAAAGAAGGGTCCTCTCCTAAAGCCATATGGCATCTCATAATCATAGAATAATAGCCATAAATAGAGAAAATTCATTTTTCAATCACCAATATAAACTATAGAGTAATTCCTTCTCCTCTTGCTTCGATTAATTTTCCACTTGAAACATTATATAGCATTCGTTTTTTTCGAAATTCGTATGTGTGTAGCCAGGGATTACATGCCTACTTCTACTCTGCCAAGGGATTTGGCATTGATCACTACCTTACAATTGAGTGGGAAAAATTGTACAAAAAGGACATAACCATATCTCAAGAGGTACAAGAGGAGAAAAAGAAAATTTTAGAAGAATTCTGAAATTGAGTACTATTACATTACAAGAGCACTTTGACAAATATAATTGAGGTCCACTAAATATTAAATGGGTTCTAAATTGACGACAAGTTCAAAAAAACTCAATGCAAAACATAATTAATCAAGAGCATATTCCAATGGGTTGGTCGCCCATCTGAGTTGACCCTACCCGTGTAGAATTAGATAGGTTGGGAGGATTGTGGAATAACTTTCCACCAACCATAACCAACTAGAATCTACAATAACTTCAATAATGCAAATGAACGCGAATGTGAAAGGTGAGAATTCTCTGAAGAGAAATTACACTAAAATTCGTACGGGAAATGGCTTTAAATTGAGAGGACAAGAAATCATATTAAAAAAGGCATTTGGGTTCTGGCAAAGGAATTTTCTCCATTGCGATAGAGTTTTGGACGGGAGTACAAGCAAAAGCAAGGCAAGTGATTCAATCTAGTTAATCTCGGGAATTCTTCAACTTCAGGTAAGTTTTCAACAATCTTGAACAAGTAGAAACAAGCAGCGTAAAGAATTACATTATGTAACATTAAAGAAAACGACTTTAACAAAATGTATTGATCAAATTTACATTCGACCCAAAACATTATGTAGCATGTAAATAAGTAATTCTTAATCCAGATTTTAGAATTATTTTACAAGAAGAATTTTAAGTATCTTTTATGGTTGAATCTCTTGATGTTCTCCACTCCAAATATGCAATTTGGTCCACTCTAATAGGCTACAACTCAACCACAAACAAAAAGGAGTTCATTTATCACAATTCAATAGCCAAGTTCCTATGAGAATTTACCATTTAGTCCGGAACGTAATTATTCAAGCCTTTCCACTTATGGTGCACTTCTAAACATGAATTTTCTATTATTTTCAGCCATTGACTCAATCTCTTTATATAAGAAAAGATTAGGTATGTAATGGGATGCTGTGAGTTTGACTTTAAAATCAAACTACTCACTTCACCCCAACCCAACTTGGTATACGTCTCTATTAAGATTTGTGGCTATAAAAAGTTAGCCTTGTTAAGAGGAATTATATGTTGATTAGTATTTTTATACACTACTAATGTGGGATTTTACCCTTAACAGCCTCGACTTCCACCTCCC